GCAAGTAGCCCGAGATTTCCACGTTGGCTGCCCTGTTTAGCATGGGCAAGTAGCCCGCAATTTCTACGCTGGCTGCCCTGTTTAGCACCGCCAAGGCAGCCGCCCCCCTTGCGGCCACAACCTTGTTCAGCATCGGACGTTCCATTAATGCCTGAAGAGCGAAAATGGCGTTTCATTCGTTCTGCAACTGAGCTCAAAGAGGCCGGGATCAAGTTCCAGAAAAAAGAGGAGAAATTGTTTCATATAGAGTTTCAAAAGGGGGTGATGTCAATTCCAACCCTAATAATCGATGATTATACAGAATCCATCCTTCGTAATTTCGTTGCTTATGAACAGTGCGTCCTGGATTTTTCCCCAAAACCCTTCACGGATTATATTACATTCATGGATTGCCTCATCAACACAGGAAAGGACGTTGAATTACTTTGTCGCTGTGGAGTTCTTGATAATTGGTTGGGTGACAATAAAGTCGTTGCCACCATGTTTAACAGACTCCGCGATTCTGTTTTGATCAGGGAAGCGGACTTCTCCTACTCCGAGGAATTCAACAGAGTGAATAAATATTGCGACAGAAAGTGGAACTTGTGGAAGGCAAACTTATGGCACAATTACTTTAACACTCCATGGGCATTGATTTCCTTTATTGCTGCGGTCTTTTTGCTTCTATTTGCAATGTTGCAAACTTTGTTCTCAATTCTCTCTTATCTTCATTAACCCGGTTGACCATTTGTAATAAAATGTTATGTCTTATTAAAAAATAAAAATTTAAAAAAAATTATTAGCTTGTGTTCCTTTGAAGTCAATTTGTAAGGATGATATGTTGTTTTTAAATTTAATATTTTTAATTTAAAATTTGAAAATTTTAACTATTTGAAGCAACGAGGCTTAGCTGATCTTGTTGCAACAAAGTTGTTGGATTAGCCGAAGAGGACAAAAACGGCGTTTAAGGTTGCGTTTTGAGTGGAAAAAAATTAAAAGTCCTTTTATGTCTTTTGGGCCTTTCGGCGTTAAACTGGGCCTCTATTTTCTTTTAGTTTGGGCCTATCTATTTCTTCCTCTTTCCTGATCTGAGCAGTGAGCAGTGAGCAGAGAGGGCTCTCTTCCGGATTCATCAGCTCGAGCTTCTGCAGTACGATAATGGCTGAAAAAGAATCTGAGTACGACGATACTTCAGACTCGAACCAGTCTGCGATCAGTCTTTCAAACTCGAAGATCAGTCGACGCACCCTAGCACCACCGCCTACGCCTCCGCTGGTGGTCTTGAAATCACCTGCTTTAGCGAGCTCGTCGATGACGCTACCTTCCACTTCCAAATCATTCTTTTCCCTAAACAGGTATCGATATTTAATTAGCTGAATTTCTGACCTTTTTTATATTCAGAAGTTGATGCTTTCTAATTACAAACAGATATATGCATGGATCGGTTGCAACTCTACGAAATTCGGTGACTTGTACGCAGCTGCATCGACACGACCTGTAAGATTATAATCTTCAAAATTTAGGGATTACTAATTGATAATGAATACTGGTTAAATTGTCATTTGCTTTGATGGAAGAAACAGAGCAACACGGTCGGTGTGACTTCCATTCTTGGAGGTTCTTCAGATAACACCGGTTCTGGAATCGCTAGGCGATTAGGTAAATTTCTATTAATATGTTTTGTTTGGTTTCTTTTGATTGTGGGCTAAATGCATTTTTTGTTTCCATGGAAGTGTTAAAAACTGATCTTAATATAATTTTTGCTTGCAATATCCCAAAGAATAGGCCCCTGCTTGACGTTTGATATGTTCCTCTACCATTCTTTCTCTGTCTCTATCATATGTCATAATAATGCATTGAAGTTTCTTGTTGGTAGAATCTTGTCATTTATTTATTTTTTCTTGGTTTTGTTTTCACCCAAGGACTATAGGACATATATTAATTTCATTTCAAGAGCTTGGGGGGTACGATGGCCCCCCTATCCCTACTTATCCTCCGTCCCTGTTTGCACCCAGTTCTGGTATTAGAGAGATTGTTTGTTTGAGTATTCTCACATTCCTTTCACATTTTAAGATTTTCATTTTGCATTTGACACAAGTTTTTAAATTTTGCCCTGAACCCATATCCAGACCTGTGGCCTGTGGGAAAACTTAATGGATTTTAACCATTGGTAGACCAATAACTTTCCCATGTGAGTGAGAGTGGTGGGAAGACAAGCATATTGCTGGTTAATTGCTCTAATAGCCCTACACCCTCTTTCCAATTCAAGTAAAGAGGGGAGCTTTGTCTACTAATTTCATCTGCTGTGACATATTCTAGCATGCTTTGGAACATGATGTCGTTGATTGTACATTTGCCCGTTTCTTCCTTGGGATTTTAGGCAAATGCTGAAAAGAAGCTGATGGAAAAGTTAATTAGTTTGGGATACACGCAGCCAAGATGGTGTTGTGAGAATTTACTTTCATGGAAAAAGCTTCTATCTTCATCCCCCTGAACATAACAACAAGGTGTGTCTAACTGCACCAACACCTGGTGGTTCTTTCTCCTTAACTCCACTTTATTGGTTTGGAAAGTAAACCTCCAAATGACAAAATACCGGCTATGATTCCCTAGTTGTTACTGATTTGTGTTCTATGATCTATATCTGCTATGAGCTTTGCTAGGGAAGATTTGTTTTTGTAAATTGTCAGCACCAATTTTCAACTGAATTTTTAGTTGATGGATCATTGTATTTTTACGTTGAGGAATTATTGGACAATGCTTTTTGCAAAACTTGCTTATGAGGGTTTTTTGTTTTCTTTTTTCTTTTTTTTTTCTTTTTTTTCTTTTTCTTTTTTTTTTTGGGGTGAGGGGTGGGCTTGGATCATCTTTCGAGGGTAATTCGAGCTTGTTTAAGTGTTGGTAGTGCTATTTCCTGTTGAAGCTAAAAAGGAAGTTAAAATTGAGAAATTTTAATGTGGAAGTTAGAAATAACCAAGCCTTAATGTGTATTCTTCCTTGGAGATGGCATTGGAAATGGAGGAGAAATATTTTTGCTTGGGAAAATACTCTTTTGCAGGAATTAATTGAAGCTCTGCAAGGAAAACAGCCGAAGCAAGGACAAAAGGACCGCTGGAGTTGGAAACACGATTCAAAGGTCAGCTATTCAGTGAGCTTGGCATACGAGCTTCTAACATCAGATTAACAAGGTAGTGAAATTGGCAAGTACAAGCTGATATGGAACAACAAGGTGTCGCTGAAGGTCTCGGCTTTCATTTGGAAAGCATTGCAGAATAGAATTCCAACAATGGAGAATTTGTTCAAAAGAGGAATCATACGTGATGGTGCTGACATTTCATGTGTATTCTTTGTGGAAAACAGGTAGAAAGCCCAAATCATCGCTTATGTACTTGCAAAACAACCTGGGAAGTTTGGTCCTTATGCCATGCATGGTGGGGAATAGATGTAGCAACACAAGATGAAGGACTGAAGCATCTACGACAACGTGCTGGTCTATTTCTTAACAAAAAACTTCAATATGCATGGGTTACAGTCTGTTTCACAGCAGTGTGGTCCATATGGTTGTGGAGAAATCAAGTGACTACAATCTGACTAGAAAACAAGGGATTATATTTTTTTATGAAAAAATTATTGTGCAATCTGAATTACAAAATAGATACTAGTTGGAAGTGGAAACTAAACTTGAGTAGGAACCATGGCAATCATGTTCTAACCAAACAATTTCAAACTTAAAAATAATGTAATTGGCATCTGTTCTTTGTTCTAAGGAACAAGCAAAACCCAAAGATAAAGCTACAGTCGAGAGGAGAAGAGAATATTTGAAAGAAGTATATACTGGTCAACAAAAAGATTTAGTTGATAATTTTGAATGCTGGAATTACCTCTTTTTTCTTCCACTCTTCCCAGACTTGTTAGAAGGTCCAGCACGAGCTACTGATGATGCTGGGGTTTCCCGTTTCTTGTTTATTCCAGGATGTCTAGGTACAAGTTCTGCAAACATGGAGCATAAGCTGCTTTCCTGCAATATAACATCATCTAAACATTAATATGCGCTGAAATGGGAAAAATAAGAAGGTAGTGAAGATGATTAGTTTAGGATTTTGCTCGCGAAAAGAAAAACTGTTTAGTAGGCAAACAATTAAAAGAACAACCTCAATGGATGTTGTCACTAAACTTGTTGATTCTTCAGCTAATCTTTTTTTTTTTTTTTTTTTTGAGTTTTTTACATTAAATAATGAATTATATAATTGAAAATAATTATTTACTTTCCTAAATTTCTCATCGCTCATTTTAAAGTTTAAACTTGTTATCTTTGATTAGAGTCTTAAATTTTTAACCAAAAAAAATGGATAAATAAATATATTAATTTTTTATTTTTTATTTAAAGATATTAAATTTATTAATTTTTAAATAAAAATATCAAATTTTATTTTTTATTTAAAAATATAAATTTTTATTTTTATTTAAAATATTAATTTTTAATTATTTTTATTTAAAAATATCAACTTTGTAATATTTTAGTTAAAAAACTTTGGCAAGCTAATGTTGCTGCAATGAGTTGTATGAATTGAAGAGGACAAAAACGGCGTTTAAGGTTGCGTTCTGAGTCGAAAAATGAAAAACTGAAGTCCTTTTCTTTCATTTGGGCCTTTTGACTACAAATTAGGCCTGTATGTTCTTTTAGCTTGGGCCTTTTTGATCCTGTTGTCTGATCTGAGCAGTTCTTTTAATTACTATATCATTTTTTTACACATATAACATATTAAATGATAAAAAATTTAAAATAAAAGAATTAAAAAATAATTTTTTAAAAGTAAAATAATAATGAAAAACTTTTTTAACTTTTTTAATTTTATTATTTTAAGATTTTTATCATCTAACATACTATTTGTAAAAAAAAAAACTAACATAATTTTTCAAAGTAAAGAAATTAAAAAAGAATGTTTTGGTTAAATGGAAAGCCCAAAATTAAATTTTAATTCATTAGAAAAATCCTTATACAAATTCATGAGATACCCCTTTTTTTTTCCTAAAACAGGACAATTTAAAAAGATAAAAAATAAAATCCATAGAATTTAAACACATATCGACGGGAGAAAGTGATCCCACTTTAACCAAGTTAAAAACTTACTTTTACTTTTTTATTTTAATAAATTTATAAGTTTTAGTACATCATTTTATGATAATTTTAATTCATCACTTTTATAAATAGAAGAAAATAACATTTACTTAATATCAGATTATAAATTTTTATTAGTTTTGTTAATTGAATGTTAATTCTGTTAGTTAATTATTAACATTTCGTTAATAAAATTAATAAATAAAATTAAAATTAAAATTTATATTTTTTATAATGAAATATTAATCATCAATTAATAAAATATTAAATAATGATTATTTTTTTAATTTATATAAATAAAAAATTAAAAAAATTATAATATAAAATGAGAGATTAAACTTAAATTAAGTAAAACTTATAAATTTATCAAAATAAAAAACTAAAAGTAAGTATTTCCCAAATAAGGGCTCGGCGGGCCGCGGGGATCAAATTCATGAGATACTGAATGTGAAAGAGATGTCCATTGCCTATTTTCAAAAAAAAAAAAGAAAAAGAAAAAGAAAAAAAGAATGTAAAAGTGATGGACACGTGTTGGTGGAAATGGCTCTGGAGAGATACTTTTGGTACGGACATCGTGGTGGTCCTGGAATGTGAAAGTGATGGACATGTGTCGGTGGAAATGGCTCTGGGAGATATTTTCGGTACGGACGCCATGGTGGTCCTGGCAACTGGCAAAAGGCAAATGATTGTTTTTTTTTTTTAACATGGGAGGATGGTCCTAGAATGTGAAAGTGATGGACACGTGGTTGGTGGAAGTGGCTCTGTAGAAATTTTCGGTACGGAGACGGTGGTGGTCCTGGAAACTGGCAAAAGTTTAAATGATTTTTTTTTTTTTTTTTTGAAAATGGGAAAAGTGTGCAGAGGAAGGGGAATAGGCCTAAGATTTAAAATCAGCTCATTATGTGAACTACATCCATTCAAGAGGTAGCCGTTAGGGTACCAACGGTTGGACGGTAAAATGATTTTTTTTTCATCTTTTGTTAACTTTATTTATTATATATAGATAATGATCAATATATTTATTAAAAAATTATTTTTAAAATAAAAAAATTATTTATAAAATTTAATGATTAAATTGATAAATATTGATAAATATATTCAATTAAAAATTATATCAATTATTATCTATTATATATATACAAGGCATCGAATGTAATTTAGAAATAAATTGAAGTCTAAAATTAATAATTTAAAGTTTATATTAAAAATTTTAAAAATAAAATAAAATCTAAATTTAATAAAGTTTAGTTTATATTTAATTTATATAAAAATATATTATATATATTTTTTATATTAACCTCTCGATATTTGATAATCACATTAATTTTCGGCTAATTCAAAATAAAATCCTGTCGGGTTTACTTAGGGGAAAGCTTTTTCAGTGCTTATTTCTTTATTTACAAGACTCGAATTCGAAATTTTATTTAAAAAGAATCGAGTTCATTTCACTCAGACTAACAGGTCATTAGTAAAATATATGATATTAGTATATATTAAACTTGATTTTTTAAAAAATAAAATCGTAATTTATATTTAAAAATTAAAATTTTAATTCAAAATTTAAAAATACATTATATTATCCATTATAGTAACATTTAATAAGATAATTTTTTAAATTTTCAATTGAATTTCAATTAAATAAAATGATATAATTTAAGATTAAAACTTCAATTA